TTCATTATCTTTATATTATATGCGAGATGTCATTACACATACATTGTGATGTCATCAAGTCAGCATTCTTGTGTATCTATATTGTTTACTGTCAGTCACCTCCCATTGTATTGCTGCATTACCAGATATTGCTTTATATATCACCATCATTACATGTTTGCCAGGAGCAAAGACTACATTGAAATGTTTGAAAACAAAAGTGAATTGCGTGACATTAAGTCTCACTATGCTGAATATAATGATGTATATGATGATGAATATGATGATACATATGATGATAATGATATTGGTGCTAATGACAATGACTCAGCTGATGAACTCACAACGAGAAGGTATGTATGGCTTTATGTTAAAACATTCTACATCAGATTTTAGAGCTAATTTAATATTTTTTGCTACCAGCATGTGTAGTTGAATATCAGATAATGTGTCTGTTTTTTGTTTTGTAGACTAATTTTATGTTTTATGATTCTCTTAAACTTGCTGTATGCATGCTTACTGGGGGGTCCTCCTCACTAACTGTCATGTCATGACTGTGAATTAGCAGCTAGCTTACCCCCCCCCCCCCACTGAAAGGCAAACACACCCACTTATATGTGATCATAACTGAGAATGTATACCTGGCTTAGGTGATTTGAAAAAAACAATGAAATGCCATTACCCTAAGTGAGTAGTCAGCTTAAGGAGATTGTCTGGTGCAAGCAATTCTATAAATTGTTGGGAAAGTTAACAAAATGTCTTGCTAAAACCTTGTACTGATCACTGTTTACTTTTCAGGCACATATTGTGCAAGATTTACTTTTTGTTGGGATGGTCAACTCAACTGACTGTCCAACTACTAATTCTGCTGTAACACATTCTGGTTACAGTTGTAGTATTGTATATTTTTTGTTTTTTAATTCAGGCCTTTTACAACTCCAAGAATACTAACTGTTAGTGCTAAGGACGCATCAGGGGCTAGTGAGGTATGTATAGTACATTGTATCAATAGATATTACAAGTAATTCTAGGATAATATACCATGAATATATTAAATTAATTCTAAAATTTTAGAAAGCTGCTAGAACAAATAAATGTTATTGGTATACCAGGGTATATAGAAAAAGGTGGGAGGTATCAATCCAGTGAGTTTATAACCGTATTTAGTCATACAGTTTCAATTCATATCTTAATATCTATGGGTAGAGCAGCAATGTAAAACAATACAGAAATGTACAATGGATGTGACCCTGTAATGGGGGGAAATACACTCCATTCAAACATGGGGGCACACACACATGATTTCCCCTTCTGTTTCAAACTAACAAGTATCCTTTCTCATACCAGCGACTATTTTAATTTTGTCTTTATCATAGATAAAAATTATTTGTCATCATCGTGAACATTTATTTTGTTATTATAGTGAATTAAACAATTTTAAATCTATGAAATTTCAACTAAAAGTAACTTTCAAGATATGGTGTTGACTTTGTCGAGCAGAGCCAGTCATTATTCATTGTCATAGACACCTGCCACATAAATTTTTACCATTTTTCACTTCTTCCAGACAATTGCTTGCAAGTATATACCGGTATACCTTGGGTAGACCTCATCCTCTTTCAGATTGATTCATTTAGTATCAATAATTAAAATTTTCTTATTTTAGTTAATATCCAGTATCGTTATTTTCAAATTGGCTGATTGATTGGATAATTCTCGTCTACTATGCTTCTGAAACAGTGAAACTATATCAGCCGACAGATTTCTTGTTTAGGAACTCTTGTACAATTTAGGTTATGAGAAACATTGAGATTAGTACAAGTATTATTTGAAGAACATGATTATGAGGTCTCCATTGTTATTGTCCATTTTTGGTAAGGACTGTCCCACTAAAATTTTAGCCAGTATTTTTTGTGCATTCATCTGTGTAACCAGGGCTTGCATAAATTAACACAGAGTCTTGTCTCATCAAAGTGTTTCAGTGTTGTATTTGCCGAGTAATGTATTCTTTCATTTTATTAGAGTTCTGAAGAGGAAGTCAAAACAAAACCATTAGACATGTTCATACCAAATCCTGCTGAAGTAAGGGCAAGACAGGAAGCTACTAGAAGGTCAAAATATGAAAGTCGTAATAAAGATATTCTAAAAGGTCAACCTAAAGGCAAAGGTCAAAGTGCTCAAACTGAACGAAAGAGACATGACAAGGATAAACACAAAGCATCTAGGGCTAACCATAATAGGAAAATTATGTCAGATAAAAAGAGAAGTAAAGCCATGATTTAAAAGATGCACTGCACCAAGTGAGAACAATCCATGTACAATATTCAGAACATTTTGGACTCTCATGTACTGTAGAATGCTTTATTTTCGCTTCAGGAATGATTCGGTGAAAATAAAATCCAGCGAATATACCTTTTTTCCTATATTTTACATTAAACTTGTCAAAAATCAGTGAAAATAAATTCCATATGAAACACCCAAAGAGTCATTTTAGCCAAAAATTTATTCCAGCTAAAATAAAATATTTCACAGTATATAGAGATCAAGGTTGGTTGTTGTCCCTCACAACCATGAAAATTAATACAGAAATCACAATGTTACTTGCATCTTTTTTGAGTTGCTGTTCTTAGAGCCAAGAAGCCGACATTGACAGACAAAATTTACTTTTAAATTGGCTTTCTACTTGATTTTCCCTGTTCACATTCAGTGAAAAGTGGGCTTCATTCATCTGGAGCAGATATCAAACTTTGCAAATTGGTGAAGAATGCGATTCAAATCTGAAAACATTACCTCTCCCAAAACCTTAAGGAGTAATTGAGTGCAATAAACGTTACATTTTGTTTTACTCCTGTGTGTAATGCACACAATGGGAGTCTATATGGTCTGTCTGCCAATATCTTAAGAACTACTGAAGTTGTTGGTAAAAACCCATGCATTGCATGATATTTTACCAATTTTTAGCTTTTCCCAACATCTCGAAAACCATTCACATATCTCTGGGACAATGCACAAATCTCATTAGTTTGGGTTGTCCATATAATTTAGCTAATTTTCATCTTTTTGTCATAATGCTTCATCAGTATGCTCTTCTTTACGACTCCCATGTGCAAAGCACACAATGGGAGTCTTTGCAGTTAGCCAGTGTGTGTGTGTCTGTTCCACTGATATCTCAAAGAACCACTCATTGGATTTTGATGAAACTTGGTACATAGATGCTCTGGGACAATGCACAGACCTGATTATTTTTAGATGCAAATCCCATGTATAATGATTTATCAAATTTCGACTGATATCTCAAGTACTAATTATCATATTACATGAATGTCTTAAGACATGCATATTAATGTATATAAAGTGAATATTCATATTCAAATGTACCTTAATGAAGTGTTAAATTCTTTATTTTTGGTAAAAAAAAATGCTTCAACTTATTGAAGATTAGCCAAAGTTTCTGCATATTTTATACCACTCTTGGTCATGTGACCAATTGTTCTGTCCTAACATTCATTCTTGTAAATCTTTATGCTAATAGTAAACCAGCCATACTTTCATTGTGTGATTGCTACATTGTCTTAGTAACATAACTGACATTTTATAAACCATTTTTACCCTGAAAAGCAATGTTTTTTCATACATGTTCAGGCAAACATGAATATCATACTACTATAAAATCTCTATTAGAAGCTGCGGCTTCTATTAAAATGGTACAATTCAACCGAGGGGGTGTGGCTTCTATTAGAGCATCTACACATATGACAAATTGTGAATTTTGGTTCTCAATTGTTCAAAAAGAATGGGTGCGGCTTCTATTAGGGATGCGGCTTCTAATACAGATTTTACGGTACTAAATACTGTTGCAAGTGTTTTATTTTGGGCTTTAAAGAAATTCAACCAATTCTTTGACAAAAAAACAATACTATGATTTCATGTGCATATCAATGTTTAGCTTCGTTGACAATGGACCTATACATCTGACATTTTAAGGTCAGCTGTATGGTTTCATATGAGAAACATTGAGATTAGTTCATATCAGATTAGTCTACTGCAGGATATTAAGTTTATTTTTGACCGCTAACCTGATTGTATGGACTTATTGTTCAGTTCCTATTGCTTTGATGACATTTTCTTTCTCCCCTTTGTTTACTCAAATGAATATACAACAGGAATTATGTCATTTTATGATTCTAAATTTTTTAAGTTCACATGTCATCATACAACACAGTTTTTCAGTTTGTAACTTATAATTTTATTGCTGGAAATAAAAGGATTCATTGAAATTAAAACTCCAATGTGCGACTGATTTTAAGGTTGACATGCAAGGAGAGTACACTTTAGCTATGTATTCACATAAACCATTACATTATGTTATAGACAATTGTGTTGAACTGATGAACAATACTCTGGGTTGCACACTATTGGATCAAACGGATATCAAGTTAAACTGGGCTTACAAGCAATTGTACTTGTGGCTTAAAACAAAAAGCATCCAATCCAAAAAATACTCCATTCCACAATTCCATACATGTATCTTGTATGTTTAAGCTAATTTGCATAAAACAATATGTAAAGCTATTAAAAATAAAATAAAATAAAATAAAACATGCAGCTTGGTCCAACCACAAGTTATTGAGTTGGCAGTGAACCACACACTTTACAGTAAAATATTTGCTTTAAATATATAAAATATAATATTTATCATGCAATATATACATACAGTACTTACTATCTTATCACAATAATAGAAGTTTATACCTGTTTGTTTAGGTCCTATTCTGGTCCCCACACATTATGGTTCATTCCCCTAACACTGGGCTACGAGGATGAGAGACCCTACCCTTAAGTTAAGGCACAGTAAACCTCTTGCCTACTTCACACTATTCTGGTATCTCGTGTGAGCTACCAAAGTTAAGGCACACTGAACTCTCCTCTTACAAGTTGAAGCACTGGTCATTGAATTGGTGATGCTATAACAAGAATATTCAAATCATGAATTAACCTGGCATCATCCCTATACAAGTAAATTAAATATCTGGAAAACTTATTGCTTAATATATTTAGTGTAGTGGTATGTACAATTTGCTATATCAATCTTACAAAATGTTATCTCCCTGTTTTACAATTGGCTCAAACATTTGTCAATTGTTATATAGTATTACCCATCATGACCATTGCAAAAGTTCACCAAACAATGCTCTAGTTGCAAGAGTTTATTTAAACCATTGTTGTCTGTTCATAGTGTTTCCCGATTTTCTTTTGTGAAGTCAAGCCACCTGTTTGTTGTTGTTTTTGGAATTCTAAAAATTCCTCTTTTAGTTTAGCGCATCTTGCCTCATTATCTTCATATTGTGGGGATGACCTGGGTCTTGGCATCAAGTCACTGCTTGATTTCACATCTTTCAAGGAATGGGGTTTCATGGTTGATGATTTACATTGAATTTGTTTCAATGCATGTAGGAGTTCAGATTCTGGTGGCTTATCAAATTCATAATTTTCATCAATTGAACCATCTTTTTGCAAACTAAAAATAGTTAGACTATCTGAGAATGGAGAGTCTAAGCTTATTTGATCACTAGGTATTGATGCAGATCGTTGATGTGATGACATAGTACTGTGTGATGCAGTACGACTACCAATTCCACTGCTCACACCTGGTGAAGACGATTCTTGTTGTTTAAATGATCCACCGCGCGATGATCTGGACAGCGTGGTTGTGCGGCTTCCCCTTCCACTACTCATAGATGTAATACTATTACGATTCTGAGAAGAGCAATCTCCAATTTTAGGAAGCATATCACGAATTATTTGTAACTTTGATGAAGTGTCTTGTAGATTGGTTAAAGTAATGTCAGAATCTTTAATTGTTTGTTGATTTGTGGTTGAATTATGATCTGCTACAAGAGTTTCTAAGGAATCTACTGGAGTTATATTATATCTCATTGGTTTGATTGGTGCAATGGGGGTTTCTTCTCCCCTTCTACGTGGTGTACTTAATAAGTTTTCTTCCAATCGTTGTGGTGGGCATATACTGACATATTCACCCTTATCCATTGGTTCTTCATTGCTTCTGTGTATTTCAACACTCACTGTCCGTTGTGGAGTTCCTGATATGGAACTGATGTCTCGTAATGTAGAAGGGGTGCTAGCTGTAGAATAAATCGGTGTTCTTTGTGATGGTCTCCTTGACAACAGTTGCATGGCTGAATGATTAGGTCTCCAGTTATCTGCTGTCTGAGGCCTTCTTGCTCGTCCTTGTGTCTCGCCACTTAATATTTCACTTGGCCGAGAAAACTGAGGAAGGGAATCTGTTTTCTTGGGACTTTGTTTCAGATCAGAATGATTTGTTTCAAATAGTTGATTTAACTTGTCAAATTCAGCTTTTGCTTTCCAAATATCCTTGATACTGATACCAGAATGATGTCGTGGTTCATCACAGGGATTCACATTTCTCACATTCGGCACAATAAAGGGTTTCTTATAAATTACGTCTTCAGGACTACTTGTACATAAACCACGACGATATACAATTTCTTGAGTGGAATCAACCGTTGTTTCACTATCAGTGGTAGTGTATGTAGATTCTTCACTGCTGGTCGCACACATAGTTGGTGTGTCTTGACCCAATACAAACTTACCATCAATAGTACGACTAATCTGACTGATAGGACTTGTATAATCAACCTCTACTTTATACACAGGTACTTTAGATTTTCTGGCAAATAAAGATTCACTCACAGTAACACCTTTATTTGAAGTCATTTTCTCATTTGGTTTGGCTTTTTTGCGGCGACTGTAACTTCTTTTTAATCTTGCAAAAAATGGGACTAAGACTGGCTTCAGTTCTGGCAGTTTGGGACGGGTTTGATGCTTATTTTCTGCTGAACTTTGAGATTTTGGTCTGAAAAAATAAAACAAGACATGAATGTCATAGTCCCTGTAATTTGAAAGAGTTTTTTTATAAAAATTTACTAATTTATACATCTTTATTCATTTACATGTATTCAGTAAAATTTAGTTTGCAATAAAACAAACATTTTTTTGAAATTGTCACATTCAATGTGGAATATTTAGGTAGACCCAAATATATATTGTTGGTTTCTGTGACAAGATGTCTTCATATCAACACATACAGTTTGCAACTTGCACACAACAAATATGTACTGGATGTTTTATGCTGGAAATGATGGTTTTAATGGTTTTTAAAATTTGAAAATGCCAAT